AACTGAGATAGAGATCAATGGAATAGAATTGAGAGTGCAGAAATAAACCCTTATGTTCACAGTCAACTGATTTTAGACAAGGATCCCAAGACTTTTCAACAGGTAAAGAATAGTTCGACAAATGGTTCCAGATCAGTTGGATATGCATGTACAATAAAATCAAGTTAGACCTTTTTCTTACACCATGCATGAAAAAGAACTCAAAATGGACCATAGACCTAAGTGTAAGAGTTAAAATTATAAAATACTTAGAAGAAAATCTCGTAGTAAGTCTTTGGGCCTTGATTTAGGCAACACCTTCTTAGCTATCATATGAAAGTACAAGTAACAAAAGAAAAATAGATGAATTGGATTTCATTAAAATTAATGAAAATCTAAAGTGAAATCTTTTGTACTTTAAAAGACACCAACCAGGGAGTGAGAAGATGACCCACAGAATGGAAGAAAATAATTGCAAATCAGATATCTGATAAAGGACTTGTACCTAAAATATATAAAGAACACTTACAACTCGTTGACAAGTCAAACAACCCAATTTACAAATAGGCAGCAAAGGGTTTGAATTAGATATTTCTCCAAAGAAGTTATACAGATGTCCTACAAACACATGAAAAAATACTCAAGATCATTAGAATTATGGAAATACCAACATATACTTTAAACAGGTGAAATTTACAATATATTAATTTTATCTCGATAAAGGTGTTTTTTAAAAAGTGTAAATAATTCCTGAAATATTTATGAATAAAGCAATACACTGTCTGGAATCTGTCACAAAATAATCCGGAAGCAGGAAGAAGAGGGTGGGAGTATAGATGAGATAAGGTTGGATACGAATTAATAATTTTCTCAAAGCTCGGTGATGGATACACTATTTCCTCAACTTTTTGTATGTTTGAAATTTCTCATAATAGAAAGTTAAAAATATATACTTAGAAAGTCCCAAGGTATACACAAAAACTTGTACACAAATGTTCATAGCAGCATTATTCATAATTTTCAAAAAGTGGAGATAACCCAAATATCTATCAACTGATGAACAGATAAATAAAACATGGCGTGTTCATATAATGAAATATTATTTAGTCATAAAAAGGAACGGAGTTCTAATAAATCCTACAACATGAAAAATCCTTGAAAATATTATGTTCATTGAAAGAAGCCAGACACAAAAAACTATATATTGTATGATTCCATTTATATGAAACGTCCAGAAGAGGAAAATTCATGGAGACAGAAAGTAGGTTAGTGGTTGCCAGGATCTGGAGCGGAGAGGGATGGAAGTGACTGATAATACACATGGGTTTCTTTTGGAGCAAGGAAAATGTTTTGGAATTAGATAGTGGTGATGTAACCGAAAGCTCGGTCTCTGAACCCGACGCCAATCCAAATAACGAGAACAGAGTCTTGAGTGGAAGAGGAAAGGTTTTTACTATGCCAGGCACAGGGAGCAAAGCAAGAGCTCATGCCTCAAAAATTGCTAGCTCCCCGATGAGGAATGGGTAGGGATTTTTATTTGGGGTTTTGTGGGGGGGGGGCACATGTAGCTTGTGCAGCTCCGTGCTTTCCCACCAGCCTGCGTGTGGCCTTGAGAGGCTGCTTGCAGCAAGGCGGGGCAGGGGGGTGGGCGGGGGGCTGGGGGGGTGAGATAGGAGGATGGCAGGTGGGCGTCCTTCACCGTTGTCTCGTCTTCTTGTTTGAGGCGGGTTCGAGTGTGTGGAGTCGAGGTGTGGGAAGCCTCCGCTCCTTGATACTCTTGAGACAGCGGCTTTCCTGGCAAACTCAAGGACACATGATTAGCTAAACTTTGGTGTGGCTCCAACTCCAGGCCACCTGGGCTTTGAACAATTTGTAACTCCCATTTAGTTGTAAAGCTCAAGGAGTCCAAGTTTAAAGAAACAGGTATTTACATATGAGTGGAGCTAGAGAAGCAGGAAAGGAGGTGGTGGATTTTAGTTTTAACCCCGTATACGCTGGGTTCAATGTGGGGGAACTGATATCAGGGCTGATGTTAAGAGCCTGTAACAGCGATTGCGCATATGCTAAAAACTACCAAATTGTGTACTTCAGAAGGGTGAACTTTATGGCATGTGAATTACATCTCAATAAAGCAGTTATTAACAAAAAAAGATTAAAGCCAAGAAGTAAGTCTGACCAGGTCTCTAAAATAAGAGATTTGAAATGAATACTGAACACAAAGTATAGATCAAATAGTGATTTTTTAAAAATCTGGAAAAAAAGAGCATGGAGAAGTGGTTTATATTACAGAAAGAGAGATGGTCCAATTCTGTAACCAGAGGATAATGCCTGACAGAGGTTTTGCCTGCTTCTACCTCAGGTTTACCATAGGATGTAACAGGTAATGTCCGCCCCATCCAACGCACTGATACCCCTACCCCTGTGCTTGAAGTGCCAGTTGACTGTTGGGAGCTTTAATGTGGTTACCATCCACTCATTAAATATTTGAGGATTAACACACTGAGTTCCCCAACATCGTTGAGAAACTCTGCCTCCTCTGATAAATCCGGTGGGCTCCCTGGAGGAGTGAGGGGATAGATGGTGGATTCTCTGCTGCAGCAATGAGGCTGGACTTCCTGAAAGAGCTGGGGACAGGGCGCTGATGATTGAACAACCCTAGGAAGTCTCCCAGAAGTCTAGCTTCTGAGAGGAGGAAGTCTAGAATTGCTTGAGATTGCAGGAGCCATAGATTGGTTACAAAGGGAAGTTGCTACTAAGTCAAGGTCAGGAATTTACAAGCAGGGTTAACAAGTTCAGAGCATCCTGAGGAAGTGGACACAGGACATGTTGAGGCAATTATAATTCCTCGTTTTGACATGAATGTGGACTAAAGTTATTCATGACACAAACATCACCAACAATCAATCTGCAAGTCTTCGATTAGCATTACATTTGTTCTAGTACTATGCTAATTTGTTAAGACGCTATTAGGCTACCTGTTGAGGGAGAAGGTGGAGTCATTAGATACAGATGATAGAGCTGTCAATGATCCGAGGAAACGTGGATAATAATGACCAATACTTACTCAACACTTGCTGTGTCCCAGGCACTGTGCTAAAGATGGGAAATGTTTTAATTCTTTTAATCCTCACATTGACCCTGTAAGGGAAATAGTATTACCTTTTTATAGGTAAGGGAAGTGAGGCTTAAAGGACATGAATCGCTTGACCAAAGGCATATAGCAGTGGGGCCAGAATCTGAAACCAATATCAGACACCTGAAGTTTCCTTCTTGTCCCCTACAATCTATGACCTCAAGGCCATGTAAAGACCAGAGGTTGTTAAATATAGAGATCATCTATTCTAAATATGTGACATTCAAAAGGGAAGGGAAAGTTGAAGTGAGGGTCAACAAGGCAAAATGAGTTATGAAAAAGGGAAGTTGAACCTAAATATATAATGGGCTTAAGTTCATTGCGACCTTTGTGGGAAAGGAATTTAGAAGTAAATCTGAACTTACATTGCAAAACAAGCATAAGCTGTCAGATAAAGTAAAGGCAAAATAGTGTGTACCCAGAATTGCTGTGATTAGCCAAATAAACAGAGTACATTCCATAAGAATAAAGACACTTATGAATCATTGGTGGGCATGAGTGGGTAACCACACATGCTACTAGACCAATCAGAAGTTAGAAATAAAATATGCTAATCGTTGCTTACAAGCATACCCAGTTCCAACTACATTGAATGCTCATTAGATTGATACTATAGTTTTGGAAAATAAGGGTACAAACTTTTTTAAGGATTTGGCTTAACTTTTATTGAGCCAGGGTGAACTAGAGCAAGAAAGCATTCTTTAGCATGGAACACCAAGAATTTCTTGGGAGAAAAAGCAGATTTCTATTGGAATAATTATTAGGACCAGGACTAATCAAAGGATGGACCTGCCTGATCTGGGGTTTCCTGTGTGTGTTTTGATGGGATTGCTATTAACTTCCACGCTAAAGTCTACTAGAGCCCAGAGCTGTTGAAGCTGCATGTGTTTCATTGATAGTGCATCCTAGGAAAAGCCACCTGCCTAGTGACACGCAAGTGCCCCCTTTATCCTAGAGACTGGCACAGACTTGGATTTTGTTCCACTCATTACCTTCAATGCCATTGTAATCACCTATTTCTCAGAGCTCAACATCAACTAATTTATATGAGGAATGAAAATAAGTGTGCAAGCTATAGTCCCCAGCCTTAGTAAGTTGTCAGTGTCCTTCCTGAAACATAACTAATATGCATGAAACAGAGAGCGACAAGAAAGATGTATAATGAGCGATGAGTATGGTATAGGCTTTAGAAAAGGGAGAAATTAATGTGACTACCATCATTAACGAAGATCTGACAGGAAAGCTTGCGCCTAAAAGGATTTAAATAAATGTAAGCCAAAGTGTATCAACATTTCATATTATATCTTTTAGTCCCTTAGTTTTCCTGTTTGAAACAATGAAGGTAATACTTGCCCTGTCTTATAGCTGTAAGGGATAATGACCAACTCCAAGATGTGGAAATATCTGGAGGAAGGACATTATCTTGTTAACCAAATAGAAAAGGCAAGAAAGTGGGGGATAGGCATCAAAACCTGAACAATTGCATCCTTTAACATAACCTGGACCAGCCTAACGGCACAATTTTGAATGTCCCCTGTATGGTGTTTCTCTAGCATTGCACTGGCCAGAACTTAGCATGTAGATTCCTTTTCACACATTTCTTATTATTTGGCAAACTTTGGAATCTTCAACAAGAGCAAGCAGTTATGTAGCACCAGGGACACTTTAGAGACATAGCTTTAGAGACATATCAATACACTTAACCCTCTTGAAACAAGTCCAGGTGGTAAGTGCTATTATCATCTCCCCATTTTCCTGATAAGGAAACTGAAGCACTGAGAAATAGCTTGCCCAAGGTGTTGCAGCTAGTGAATGGAAGCAGCGGATTTGAATCGAGATAGTCTAACTAGAGCCCATGCATTTAACTTCCAAGCTTTAAGGCAATCCCCCAGCAGACCATTGTGATGCTTTGCAACTGGTCGATATTTCCAAGCGAAGGAAAAGCAGCATAAGGCTCTCCCAGACAAAAGTGTTGCAAAAGATACTGTGCAGGAGGTGTCCACAGACTGCAATTTCACAGCATACCAGAGAGGGTAGAGAGGCCACCTTTACCACCTAGATGCTTTATCAATGATTCTAGAGAGAACCTAGCATAGAGGCCATGACTGGGGAGGGTTGGGCGACAGAGAAACGAAAGATAATAGGAGTAGGGATGTGGAAGTGGGACAGCAGGAATGGATACAAAGTGGTGTAATAGTCTGGAAAGGATTGGAATGCAGGGCAGTATCTTAAGAATCCCAGGCTCATTCTGTTTCATTGAGAGAAAATTTCCTAGCAACAAATCATCCCAGCATCTCAGGTCTTCTATCTACGCTGAAATGTTAATGCAATGAACCACAAGGAGTGTGGTTTCAAAATTGATGGGCTAGCAACACAAACTGGGAATTCTTTTGTTTATTTAAATTTCTATGACAAGGAGATTTGACCAGGGTGAGTTTATGATCCTTGGCACCTTCACAAAAGCACGATCTGGATATTTTTCTTCTAGACACTGTTTATCTAATTGACAGATATTAACATTGTAAACATTTTAGAGGAGACGCTCTGGTGGATGTTGGGGAAATAGAGGAAGAGGACCAGCCACTGCTCTCAAGGATCTCAGACCCATATGTGATCGATGACAACGCAGCAAGTGTGTCAACAGAAAACTGATCCCAAAAAGGCCCAGAGGGTAAAAGCCTGACTCTTCCAGAAAGTTTCAGGGAGGAAGTGCTATGGCTGACTATTGCAAGAAGATTCAGATGGAAGGGGAAGATAAGGAAGGACATTCCCGGCAGAAGGGACAGCTTGGCCAAGGTATGGAGGTATGAGGGAGCACGATGAACTCAGGTACTTATAAGATGGTATTCTCTCTCTTCGTTTTCAGCTTAAACAGAACATGTTTATTATCTCACAATTTCTGTGGTTCAGGAGTCTGAGCAAGGTTTAACTGTGTTCTCTGCTTCAGGGTCTCTTACAGGGCTGCCATCAAGGTGTTGGCCAGCAGTGGGGTCTGGTTTTAAGGCTTGTCTGGGGAAGGATCCACTTCCAAGGTCATGTGGTTACTGGCATGATTCAGTTCCTTGCAGGCTGTTGATCTGAGGGCCTTGGTTCCTTGCTGACTGTTGACCAAAGCCTGTCCTGAGTTCTTTGCCACATGGGCCTCTCCAACACAGTGGCATGTTTCATGGAAGCCAGCAAGGGAGAGTCTGCTAGAGACTTGGAAGTTACAATCTTATGTAATTTAATCACAGAGATGACACCCATCATCTTGCTGGATTTCATTGACTAGAGGCGGGTTATTAGGCCAGCCCACACTCAAGGCAAGATTACACGAGGGCATCTATACTAGAAGGTGGGGATTTTGAGGGCCATCTTAGAATCTCCCTGCCACAAAGAGACAGTTCCGTGTAATGGTCTGAGGCGGTATTCAGAAGATCGTATTCATTACTATGATTTTCCATTTATTCCCAGCTAGGAATGGTTAATAACAAGTCAGTAATAGGTGGTGGGGAAGGAGGAGATTGGTAACTTTCTACCCATATGCCCTGCATTGTTAAAAAGACCCTCCCAATTGAAAAACATGATGGAAGATTCTAGCTGTCTCTATAACGGTCTGCTAATTTGCTTTTTTTCTTTCTGCTAATTTGCTTTTTTTCTATCTTCCCAGTCACTGAAGGGAATTGGTGCACCTCTCTGGTACCCATGACACCAAGCCCCTTCCTGGGATGACAAGGGCTCCAGTTCCCAGTCTCTTATTTCCTGTTCATGGCAAATTTCTCCCTAATTTGATTACTACTATATTATTAAACTCCATTATCATATTACCCTTTTTAGCATACAGATAGAATTTTTAGTTTTCCTAAATGCTTGAAATAATTTTTACCCCTTTAAATGCTTTTTCAATGAATGTTACTCATTACTGCTGAGATTGATTCACCTCTGGCTCTTTTCAAAGGGCGTAGCATTAAGGAGAGAGCAGGTTTTGACAAGTTGCTGTCAAAAGAAGGGTTAAGTCCACAGATTTCATTGTAATTCCTGGCACAGAGTTTGAGGTAATATTTTGTACTTATTTTGTTACATGAGCTTTATCATATAACCTCCCCCCGTGCCCCACCACCCAAGGACATTACGGTGTGACAGTTTCAGTGACAATACATGGCTTGTGAGTCCCCTGAAAGAGATCAGAGAGTATCTTAGAAACAAAGTAGGATTTGTCTCTCTCTGATCATGATAACCAGAAATGGAAAAGAACACCGAACCAAAAATAGTAGCACATTTACTCTGACAGTATAGAAACTGGCAGCTTCTGCTTGTGAGTTTTAGGATCTCGAGCTAGCAACACCTCTGTGACTCCTTCTACTCATCTGTCAAGCAGCAACGATGATGGAGATGCAAATGCATTTCCCTAAACAGATTCCAGAATTAGTACAATTTGGAGCCCAATGTGAACAGCTCTGAATTTTCTCAGAAGAAAGGCCCAAAATAATCAAGTAGCCCACCAGCCAAAGGGCAGGCAGAGATTGCCGTGGGTTTTAATAAAATTCTATTTATAGCCAGAATTCTGGAGCCACATCCGCAATTGTCTGTTAAATAAAGGAAACACAAGATGATCGTATGCACCGTTGAGAACACAGTTAAGTTGTAAAGATTCTAACACAGAAATGAACGATCTTGACGAACAATCTTTAGATGTTATGTCAGAAGGTAGAAAAATCACATGCTTTCGAGTCCAAAAGTATAGATCCTAATCTTCGTTTGGCTATTGTGTGACTCCCACAGCCACTTCAGCCTAAGTCATCAGTTCTCAATCTTTTCACACAGGTACCGCTATCTGCAAAGGGGACCAAACAGATGACTTGCCCAGGAATTTGGGGGAGAGCCTGAAGCCATCTCCTGTAATCGTAGCATCTCATTAAAAAATTCTGATTTATTGTAAAAATCTATTTGAACTTGTGTCTAATCCATTTTTGTATGTGTTCTTGGTTTTCAAATAAAAATGTTTTAAATTAATTATTTTGTGTATTATTTACCTTCCAGAAATTGTGCCATGCTTCGCCTGTGACCTTGAGTAGCCAGTGGAGATTGCTATAAATCTCCTGGTGGGGGAGAGGGGGTGCATATTCCCTGATTTTAAAAGTTCTGGGGCCGGCCCCGTGGCCGAGTGGTTAAGTTTGCATACTCTGCTTTGGCGGCCCAGGGTTTCGCGGTTCGGATCCCGGGCGCGGACATGGCACCATTCGTCAGGCCACAGTGAGGCGGCATCCCACATGCCACAACTAGACGGACCCACAACTAAAATATACAACTATGTACTGGTGGGATTTGGGGAGAAAAAAGCAGAAAAAAAAAAGATTGGCAACAGTTGTTAGCTCAGGTGCCAATGTAAAAAAAAAAAAGTTCTGGCCAAGGTGATTATACGAATGAGGGAGCTGCTATCACTATGAAATCATGATTGTCATCCTCAGCTGGACTCCCAACATAGCCCAACTCTGCAATGAGCATTTCAGAATGTCCCCACTCTCAAAGCTCTGATTCTCCTTCCTTCCCTAATCATCCTTCTGAGTGAAGGATTCTTTCTCACGCTAAAAAGAGAAAACTGAGCCCATTAGATAGGAGCTTTCTCATATTCCCTCTAGACAGTTCACTCACCCACCTGTGTCTGTAGCAGTCCTTGCCTTCGTCTTTTCTGTTATCATGTATGAAGCATCTATCCCGTCTTCAAATGTTTTGTCATCTCTACTGTCTCTTACCTTCTCGGGGACCATTCTCTGGGTTATCTCCCTAATCTTCTGCATCCCTGATCTGCCCCCCTTCCTGAATAGATCCTTCCTATCGGTATCAAATATGTTTCATCTAAAAAAAGCAGTCAAAATAAACAACCCAGGGCCCGCCTGGCGGCGTAGTAGTTAAGTTTGCACACTCCGCTTCGGCGGCCCAGGGTTCACAAGTTCAAATCCTGGGTGCAGACATACACAGCACTCATCAAGCCATGCTGTGGCAGTGTCCCACATAAAATAGAGGAAGATTGGCACACATGTTAACTCAGCGACAATCTTCCTCAAGCAAAAAGAGGAAGATGGGCAACAGATGGCAGCTCAGGGCCAATCTTCCTCACCAAAAACTAAAACAAACAAAAAAACCAACCCTCCTTGATCCCATCTCCCACATCAGCTAACTATCTATTCCATTTGGGGGGGGGGTGGTTTGTTTTGGTTTTGTTTTTTTGTGTGAGGAAGATTGGCCCTGAGCTAACATGTGTTGCCCATCTTCCTCTTTTTGCTTGAGGAAGATTGTTGCTGAGCTAACATCTGTTTCAATCTTCCTCTACTTTATGTGGGATGCTGCCACAGCATGGCTGAATGAGTGGTGCTTGATCCAGGCCCAAAATCCGAACCTGCGAACCCCAGGCCACCAAAGCAGAGTGTGTAGACATAACCACTATGCCACCGGGCCAGCCCCACCTTCTCCATTTTTTCATTCAGAACCAAAGTTGTTTAGAGCTGTCCCTCATATGGTCTCCATTTTCTCACTTCTCCTTCACTTTTAAAATTATTTTTACATTTTTTTACTAAAATAATACATGTACATAGTTTTAAAAATTCACATATTACTACAAAGTATATTGAAAATGTACTCTCCTGCCCTACTCTCTATGCCCAAGTCAGCTGGCTGCAGGCAAATACTTTCAATTATTTTAGCTTTTAATTTGGACATTTCTATTCATATTTCTAAATAATATTCTTGAACTTTATATAACTGGACACAATACATCATCTTCTGCACATGGAATTTTTTGCTCAGTGTTATGTGTCTGAGAGGCACCCTATAGTTCAAGCATTTTCACTACATATTGTGTTGTGTTACATTGTGTTTGATAAATATACCACAATTTATATATCAGTTCTTTTGAGAGTGGTCATCTGAACTGTTTCCAGGTTTTTGCTGTTATAAACAATGTTACTGTGAACATATTTCTACATATCTCTGGGCATATGGCAAGATTTTCTCCACATTCCTAGATGTGGAGTAGGAGGGTCATGCAGAATGCAACTTGTGTTTCCACATTCTCTATGAAACAGAAGTTCTTCATATTAAATTAGGATTAAAGTAGTCAGTGTTACCAGTCTTACCTTTTATGATTTGTCCTTTTTTGTGTATTGTTTGGAAAGTTGTTACTTACTCTAAAATCATGAAAATGTCTTCTATATTTTCTTCGAAAAGTTTTAAAGTCTCACCTTTCACCTTTAAGTCCTGAAGCCTCTATGATTTCTTTTTCAGTATGGTGTGCCCATTTCCTCTTCAACCCTCCAGTCTTGCTCCCGTTTCTACCACTCGCCTGAAAGTGCCCTAGGGAAGCTAACCAATGGTCTCCCTTTGCTTAATCCAATTATCCTTTTCAGGCCTCATCTCACTTGATCACTCAGCAACGTTGGACACAGTGGCTTACTCCCTGCTTGAAAGATCCTCTCTTCTCAGCTGCCTTTTCCTGGGATTGGTTCTTGGCCCTCTTCTCTTTCTACCCTGTTTTCCCAGCCAATCTCGTCTATTCGTAGGGGATTATGCTGATGACCCCTAAAATTGAATCTCTAGGCCACATCTGGCTTCTGAGCTCCAATCTTATATCCCCATTTGGATGGTTCCCTGACTTCTGAAATGATCATGTCTAAGACTGAACCCTTGATCTTCTGTTCCTCTTCCTGCCTTCCCCAATTCAGTAAATGTCAACCATCCACCCTGTCATGTGCCAAATATCTGAGGAGTCATCTGATACCTCCTTTTCCCTTAACTCTAACATCCAAGACAACAATGGATCTTACCTAGTTTCACTCAAAATGCATCTGGAATCTGATTACGTATCTCCATCTTCACGACTAAGCATTTATTGTTTATCACCTGATAACTACAATAGCCGCCTAATCATTCTCCCTGCTTCAACTCTTGTTCCCTTTCCATTTTATCTCCAAATAGAAGCCAGACTGATCTGACAAAAATATAATTGGATCTATGTCAACCCTCTACAAAAACCTTCAAAACTTATTCTTGTGCTTACCATGAAATCCCAAACTCTTGACATGGCCTAGAGAGTACTATGCATTAAATGGCACCAACCTGTGTCTCTAGAATCCAGTATACCTGTGGGTCAGCCTGGAATAGTCTTCTCCAAGTGTTTTTGTTTATCTCTTCTCTCAAGCATCAGGTTAAGTGTCAATTTCTGACCCCCACCCGCACACCATTATATAAGCTCACGTTAACTCGTACTGTCCTTTATATCATCTAATATGGTTTGCGATCAGATGTCTGTCTGATCCTTAACTCATTGTCTGTATTCCCACCAGACCCTGAGTTCCTGGGGGCAAGGACCACGTCTGTATGATTATTACTGTTGTTGTTATTATTATTATTCCCCCAGTACATCCCAGGCCTAGCACGGTGCCTTGTCCATACTGGGAACTCAATAAGCCCATGTTAAATGCAGAGAGCACACATAGGAGATTATGCCCTTTCCTCGCTGAGAAGGCTGCATAGTCTTGTCTAGTTCCTAGTACAGGGGACTCAGGATCTCTGGGCTCCAATCTTGTTTCTAGGAGAATAACATTGGGAGATTCACTCTTCATGTCTCTGAGCCTCATTTTCCTTATCTGGAAGCTTCCCTTTTCCCTGCTCCTGTGTTTGCCCACCCCCTTTAAGGCTGATTTCCTTCTGAAGGGGAAGATAGCAGAGAGGAAGAAAAGTTTTTCCCACAAAGCATGCCCAAGTGTACCAGCTGCATAAGCTGATTATTACTGTTACTTTAAAGCAGAAATGTAATTAGTGTATTAGTACTTAATTGTACAGTAGGCTATTAGTAGCACAAAATCCATTCACCTAAGGTTATTCCTGTAGATGATTTGGACACAATAATGGCAAGCTTATTACTATTCCAGCTTCGCTGAAGTATTATTGCCCCCTGGTGGTGATGTTAATTACTTGGCCCTGTACGCTTGAAGATGTTGTTTAAGCAGAGAGACGAGAATTTTCCCTGAAGATCGTGGTATTCCCTTCTCTCTAAGTGAAACCAGAGACAAAAGACATGAGAGCATTTTCTTGAAGAAAACTTCTGTGTCGACCCCACCTGCATCTTTTCCTTAAGGGCTACGGCTCCATCCCTTTGACTGCCATCCCCACAGAAGATGTTTTTGTCCCCTCTTAGGTGCTGTCCAGGGAGGCAACCAGCAGAGGAAGGAAGCCACTTGGTCTCAAAGAACAACTGTTTGGGGACGCTCATTTTAGAGAACACCTGTGCAATATTCAGTCTGATAGCAGCTAGCTTTTTTTGTGGGATTTAGGTGTTCAGGCAGCAAAAAATGTTCAAATGTATGAAATAGAAGCACTGCCAACAATCAAACATATGAAGCTACATATTAGTAATAACTGCATACAATAACTGCATTCTAAGCAAGTGTCACCTGTACGCATTTTCTTGTTTCCAAATGCGTTTTCACTCTTCAAATCAGAAATTTACCCATGAGACACAAATCAACTACTCACAATTCTGCAGCCTTGTTCTAGCCTTCGAGACACAGTAGAGGAAAGGGAGATATAGGGAACGATGTTTCTAATTGATAGAAAAGGCTTCGACATAGTTGAAATATATATATTAGTCTTTGCTATATGTTCCTTCCAATAGAGAGAACATTTCCCAAATGCTGGCTTCATTTATCCTTAATAGAAACAACTCAATAAGGATGGACAAACTGCTCACAAAGCACAATTAGCAGTGGAAACACTGTTTTTCCTGCTATCTGCATTCTCATTTTTTCTCTGTGGCCCTGGATTTGGAATCAGAAAGGTCTGGGTCTGAATCTTGATGCCTTTACTTACTAGCTGTGTTACTTTAGGCAAGTTACTTAAGATTTCTAAGCTTCAGAATCTTCTCTTCATCTTCAAGATGGGTGTAGCAATATCTACTTCATGCATTTGTAAAAATCTAATATGATATTATATGTAAAATACTGTGCAAAGTGCCAGGC